AATAAAAGGTTGCTTCAATCCAAGGCGTAAGAGCCATTGTCGCCAGCCCGCACAAATACAAAACTTGAGGGTCAAATGAGCTCGAGTCGTAACCCGATTCGGAGACAGAACCCAAAATAGTTTACTACATATGCCTAAGGGCAAAGCGTAATATCCATTGTCGCCAGCCTAATGAGCCTCAGGGCCATGCACATAAAAGATTGCTTCGATCAAAGGTGTAAGAGCTATTGTCGCCAGCCCATACAAACATAAAAGCTTGAGGGTCAAATGAGCTCGAGTCGAAACCCGACTCGGAGACTAAACTCAAAACAGTTGAACAAAAGCATAAGAGCTCAAACACCACCTTATACTAAAGGTCGCATCGACGAAGCGCGTAAGAGCCCCGGGCCAGCCTAATGAGCCCCAGGGCCGTATCATCGAATCTAAAAACTCCTACTAACTCAAAGGTCGAAGTGATCTGGCTAAAATCTTGGCAAACAGGAACCCAGAAAATATAAAACCGCGAGGTTTCCCTCTTATACATACAGGCTATGGAATACAAGCTCCGTTTACAACATACTGTGAAAGCTATATACACAAGAACAAGAAGAAAGTGAACGTCCCCCTTAGGGACTATGGCCCGGCGGCCCCGTCCTCGCCATCTTCGGCATCGGACAGAAGGAACTTGGCATCGTACTCCTCCCCCTTGGCTTTCTCGATCTCTTCCGAGAGATCAAAGCCCCTGGCATGAATTTTCTCGAGAGTTTACCTCCGAGATTTGCATTTTGCATACTCTTTGCTACTGCTCGCATGATTGAGGGCTCTCCTCAGCTCAGCTTTAGCAACAGCAGCGCTCTTCAAATAGGCCGCTGCTTTCTGATCAGCCCTGGTATTGTTCATTACGGCCTCGGCCCAAACATTCACCACCTCGGCCTTCGCCTTCGAGATCTCGGACGCGAGCCTTGCGATCATGTTTGCTCGTGCAGACTCATTCGCATGAACGTTCTGGATTTGTACCTCAAGAGCGGAAACCATGGCTAGAGCACTCTCTTTGGCCGCAACTTGGGTATCTACATGTGCCTGCAGCTCGTTAAACTCACGTTTGGCCCGGCCAACTTTGCCCCAAAGTTGTTCCAACTCCTCCGCCTTGCTCTCCAACTGAAATATCGAAACATTAATCTCCAAAGATAAAAAGGGGAGTATACGTCAGCGTGAAATACGAGATACCTGTCTTTCGAGGCAGCTCTCGCAGCTCCGGCTCCGATCCTCTTCACACCGTAGGGAATCCAGCTCGCTTTCCTTTTCCGCACAAAGAAGCTTAAGGGATTTCTCCCTATCCGAAGCTTCCCGTAACTTGGCCTCATAGAGAAGGAGCTCGGATTTGAGCCTGTCGAAGGCCTGCGAAAGAAAATTCAATGAAAAGGGAAGAGTGTGGGACCGGAATAATCTTATGATGGTTACCAAATCTTACCATAAAGCTGAGTTGCTGAGCCTCACCAAAGGCCGACCCAATGTACGATGGCTTATTGTCCCCCGAAGCGTCTTTGGTAAGAAAAGAAGGAGGCACCACGTGCTCCTCGCCCTTCGAAATACCCTCAGCAGAAATGGGGAAAGCTCTTTCGAAAACGGAGACCTCCGAAGCTGGATGATCGGTCGAATCGCCTCTTCTAAACCGCTGAGAAGGATTCGCCCCACTGCAAGCCCCCTCACATCCCGGAGGCCCTTTCTGTTTATCATCGACCCTCGCCCCTGAGGCCGGCAGTCTCCCCTCTTATCCCAGAGAGTACACCCTCATTTCAAAAAAGTCTCTGATACCTGTAGCGGCTAAGTTAGTACGGTGAAAAGAAAAACACCCTTTTGGGGAAACAAGCCACCAGGTGCCTACCATGATGCTTTGCCTCCCACCTCCTTTGGACAGGTCTCGCCACCTGCGCCTATCATAAGTCGAACAAGCAGCCAGCTTATGAGACCACTCGGCCAAATCGGGGACCTCGTTCGGCAAACAAGGAGTCGCCACAAAAATGAAACAGAAAAATGTCATTACGGAGCCCGCCTCCAGTCAAAACGATGAAAAAACAGGTGCGGAATTTACGTGTGAAGTTCCATTTCTCAGGAAAGGGCAAAAACTCTCCAGGAATGATATCGATCGTTCGGGATTAAATGAACCGGTTCATCCATCCACAATCCTCGTCCTCTTTGCTGTTAACGGCAGGAGCCCGGGTGGATCGATGTTGCAGAGCAATCAAACCTCGATAGCGCAGTGGCCGATATAACCTCACGAGATGAATAAGGGTAAACTCAATCCCGAACTTGTTGGCAAAATATCTTATCGTCTGCACTATCTTCCAACGGAATGGGTGAGCCTGCGCCAAGGTAACCCGATATCTCCGACAGAACTCAAGCACGACCCGGTCGGGGGGACCCGATGCAAAAGTATGCGTGTACACGCTCAAAAACCCCTCGACATAGGTCATGATTCTCTCCTCGAAAGAAGGTACTTGTAGCACCACACCTTCTCCCCATCCGCAATATTTTCTGATCATTTCGAGGTTTTCCTCTCCCACTGATGAGATGAACCTCGACACATGCTCCCGGTGCCCAGGAACATTGGGAGGCCTCCCCAACGTAATGTATCTCCTCATGGAAAGGCACATCGAGGCCCGCTCACCGGGCACCGGCAGTGTACCACCGACCGAATGCGGAACGTATGTAGAACTCCCCTCTCCTTGGTGGGTGGATGTCGACGTAGCAGTCATGGCTACAATAAAATAAGAAGGGGAAGATATAGATTTGGGCAAAGATTATGAGTTGAAACAATGGGAGAACTAGCACAAAGCGCCAGGTTCTGTGGAAGAAATAGTCCCTCAAAGTAGCAGAATCTCCACTTGAGAGGCAAGTGAATGAATATATAGGGGCAAAGCAATGGCCGTTCGCCTATCTAGAGGGCCAATTAATTCAGGCAGCATTAACATCACCCTCTCCTAGGGAAATATACTGACAGAATCACCCCGGGATCCTTTTACCAGATTGCACAAATGCTGCTACCCTGCAAAATTCGAGAAGCAGTGAGGCCTCGAGGGCTCCTCGATATCACTGGCACCGGCCCTAAAGAAGCTATCGATCTAACTTCGAGACAGGACCCGACTTAGGGGTCCCAGTCGCTCCGAGTACGGTTTTGAAGAGCTAACGTCAAAAGTCAAAGGTTAACTCCGCAAGAGCGGCGAGGTAAAAAGAACGAAAAGACTGAAAGAAGAAAAACCTCTTTTTGCATTGCCAAAAATATATTTACAAGGGACATCTTTAAAAAATTCATTCCACGGGATTGCGTACAAAAGAAAAAAAAGAGAGCAAAGCGACACGAGGCCTACTCTTCATCACCACTATCTTCTGTAGCATCTCCAGCACCCTCATCCGGGGCGATCAGGAGCGCCAACTTTCTCTCCGACTCACGGGCCTCCACAAAATCAACTGAACAGATCGACGCCTCTGGCCTCGATCTCCTCCAAGGTTTCTCTCCTCACATCCGCTCTAGCATGTTCAATAGACCGAGCCAGTTTTAGCTCGGCCTCTATCTATACGTCACGTGCTATTTGATGTGTCGTGGCTGCGTCCTTCAGATAAGTAGCAGCATTTCTTTCAATCTCGGACTTGGCTGCAACCAGTGCAGCAATCTCCTTTCGAGCATCCTTGAGAAGATCATGGGACGACGCCAACTTCGAGGTCACTACCTCGCTTTGCTTCCTCAGCCCGAGGATCTCCACATTCAGTCGACCAATCTGCGAGTCCTTTTGCTCGACATGCAAAAAGAAAGGTAAGCCAATCAGTGTCGAAATATGGGAGCAAAGGTCGGGTCCGTGCAAGACGAAATACCTGCTCAACAAGATCAGCCTTTTCCAGGAGTGCTCTCTCCAAAGCAGCCCAGAGCTCGCCTGATTCTTTCTCCTCTCGGGCGAATGAGCCTCCGACTCCCGCAGTACCGAGGTAAGCCTCTTATGCTCATTTTCATGGTATGAAAGCTCCTCGTGGAGTCGGGAGAGGGCATGATCATACATATCCTTACACTGAGGCATAGCGGAAGAATTAGAGAAACGAAGAGTGATGCCCGAGACTAAAAGAAATATACGAAAGATAGCTATCACCTGCTGTAGGAATCTCTCACTACTAGAAATTAAGCCTACGGAAACCCTTTCAAAACCGTACCTATAGATACTAAAATCGTCCCTTTAGGGATAATGGGACGGTTTGGGACGCGTTCCAAGATTCAGCGTTACAATAGGTCAACTAGAACGGTTAACTGTAACGATTTTCAAACCGTCTCCGTATATGGCTATTGTAACAATTATAACTGCAACCAATGACCACTCTATGGGAACGGTTTTCTGCTGTGTTGGAACGGTTATATACCGTTGTGTTATAATTTTACTGATGAATTTTTAAGTCTATTGCGACGGTTTTCATGATATATTGTAACGGTTTTGTTATATATTGGAACAATTATCTGTATCTTATTGCAACGGATATTGCAACGGTTATTAGAGGGATGCTATTGTTCTTTGTTAGGTCTATTGGAACAGTTATATTGTCAATTGCAACAATTCACTATTGTAATTTCTAATATTTATGGAAGCAAGATGAGGAATATTTTCCTATGCAATGAAATTTTATACATCACTATTTGTAGAAACCACGAAATAAGATTAAAATATCTAACTCGTATTATCCATATACAAAAATAAAATATGAATACATTGTTTGATCAACAATTCAAAAGTCAAAATAGATGAGTTTTAATTTGCATACAAAAAGTTCTAAACTAAAATATCCTTGATGATAGAAAGTCTAGCAACGATCAACAAAACTCAAGTGTGGTCTTCATCACTGTTTTCATCCCCAATCGATGCACCTACAAAATTCAATCATAAATAATTAAACAAAGAAAGTTTTAAGAAAATTAAATAATGAAGTGTTTTTTTTTATGATAAGGATCACGTCTCTTGAGCACTTAATTAGATCATCACTACTTCGTGAAGTGCTTGTGCTTGAAAATATAGCATAACTCATATTCAACATACAGAACATAGAGAAGCAAGCAACTACAGTATTTATATCAAACCAGCAGAAATTAGACACTAGCAAGTTCCAGTAGAACTAAGTTTGGATAGCATCTCTGACACTGACATAACAAGTACGATAACTGTGCAGCAAGGTTGATGATAACAATCAGAAACCGTGAATTTTGATGTGCTCTTTCTTCACAATTCCAGCCTGGACAAGAAATGCAGAAACATTCTTACGTTGGTCACCCTGAAGTTGAATAACCTGGCCTAATTCAGGATCCTGTATAACAGTACCATTGCAGCAAAAGTCTTTCTTGAGATTCTTCAGTATCTTGTTGTAGCTGAATTCTTTCTTCAACCCCTGCACAGTTGTCAGGCTTTTCCTACCATTCCTTTGTTGTATACGGATGTGCACGTAATCTTTTGACCCAGCCCCAGAATTATCAGCATTTGCCTCGGCAAAGGGATCAAAAGCAGTAGGAGTTTGGGCGTCGAGATCAGACATGAAACTTGGTTGAGTAGTAGATTGAATGACCAATTTGATAACTCAAAAAATTTCTAACTCTCTAAATTTTTCAAATTTTTGACAAAGTTTCCTTTGTAAATACGACTATCCAAAAATTTTAACCTGTTCAAAACAACATTATGCTATACGCAAGAATAATTTTCAACTCTCCCGTCTGTTATAATAATATTTAATTTCTTTAACAACATACAACAAACTAGAATCAGCAACAGACAAACCATATCAAACAACTCTCCTGTCTATTATTTTTTAACCAACAATCTGCCGTAACATCTTCGAACATTATTACATCACAAAACAACATCACATCTAAATTATTCAACCTGCTCAAGTAACAGTCACTCCAGTCACAACCTTATTTAAATAATTAAATACAGCACATGAAGTACCAACCTAAGACAGTAGATCTCACAAAAATTATTAAATTGTCAATGAGTTAATACCTGGAATGAGTTGGCCTTCTTTGTTAGTAACAGTAGATGGACAATTGATTGGTTGCAATGCTGTTTGATGAGCAGATGAAGCTTCTCCTAATGAATTATCACCCAATGCCACTAGAATAATGTTAGCATCATTATCAATTCCTGAACGCTGAAGTCGTGCAAGGACATCTGCAACAACTTCTTGACGGATAGTTACCTTTTGTTCCTCAATTTTTTCCTCCATTCTTTGTATCTTCTCCTCCAATTTTTGTATAGAATTTGAAGTATTTGAAGAGGGTTCAAAATATCCTACTTTCCCTCCCAAAGAAGTTCTTGTAACCCCCCGTCCATACAATCTCAGACGTCCCGGATGTTCAGGTCCCATGACAGATGCAAATGCCTCTACGGACTCATTGCCATTTTCGTTTTGTTGTGCTTCAATTTCTTCCATTTCAGCCTAAAAAGCACAATCAAAAAAATATAATTCAAGTAAATGAAAAGTAAACAAATAGAAACAAATAATTGATCTCGATATAATATTAATTAAATATAATCGCACAATTTTACTAGTTGTATCTTCATCCGAGGACTTGTATGATCGCCCAACTTTTCTTTTTCTTGTAGTAACAAAGACTTCCTTTGCTGATAAAGGGTCCGAAGTTTCCTTGTCTTTTTCCTAGTTACATGAAAGTGAGTTAGCATTCCTAGTGATCTTACATGAACTAAACAAAAGCTAAAATTGAAATGTTTTTCCCATGATTTGCTAGTTACACACCAACTTAGAGCGAACTAAAGCAAAATTTCTTTTTCCAGCAGTGTGAGGATTCTTCAACTTTTTTCGATTCTCAATGTTAGTTTTAGACATTCTCTACAAACAGAAATAAACATCAAACAACAACTTACAAGTAGGACTTGAGAAGCACCGGCAGTGAAATGCACTGTGGTGGGCTATAAAAAAACAGCAATAGATCTTACTGTTGAATGTGCTGAAGCAAATCAAGGTAAAGATTTCTGTTCATTATACATTCATACATCAAATAACACAGTACTCCTTAACAATGATTTCTGTTCAATGCATAGTTTCTCCTTTAATCTTCATCAGCAACTAGATATTGTCAAAATCCATGAAAGGAAATTAAATTGTTGTTGTTGACATGAGTACTATTCTTATATTGCATGAAAATGCTAGCTGTTGTTATAGTTATCATATTGATTAATCAACTCTAACATACTCATAACTGTCCACATAAGCCTCAACTTTACAACTATTTTAGTTTCTTCTGAAGATGTCACCAAAAAAGGTACCAGAGAATAAATGTCAAAAGCATAGAATTTTGATTTTTCAAGTCACATGCTTTGACTTCAAGACTGCATCATAAGTATATTTTTCTTTCAAGGTTGAAAAAACAGAAACCACCTAGCTTTTTTTTTCTTTTCTAATTTTTGCTTATCATTTGAATTTATTTGTTTGTAACTGCTTGTAGGACCTGAAGGCCAAATCTAGTGCAAAGGCATGATTGCTTCCTGTTTTTCTAAAACAATAAACATGAAAAGCATCAATCTCATTAATGCTTCCTGTTAAAATAATGTTCTTTTATTCTAATAGAGTGGGTTGTGCAAGTCAAGTTCTCTCATCAAGGTTGGTTTATGAACTGCTCCAAAAGCCTCAACACCCAGAAGCCTATGGCCAGCTACCAGGGAAAAGAGCTGCTCCATCAGATATTTTGAGAATGTGTATATGTAATTTAAAGGAAGGAATGAATAGGATGTACTCCTATAATGTACCATCTAGCAATTGAAAACATTTACAGCAGCAAGCAGAGAAAGAAGGGAAAGACAACAACAATGGCCGAGAAGAAGAAGAAGAAGAAGAAGAAGAAGAAGAAGAAGAAGAAGAAGAAGAAGAAGAAGAAGTTCAAGAAGATGAAGTCACATACCTGGAGTTTCTCAGAGTTCCAATACCTAAGGAGTTCCTTAAACTGAGAAACTGGAACATCTTCAGGGATATGTTGCATTCGAGTTTCATCACTTTTAAAGGGGTCAAAGTGATCTTTTTTCAATCTACTCTTATGCTTTCTCGAGGCAGCTTGAACTGATTCCAAAGTATATTTTTTTCCAGCATCAGGAATATCATATTTATCCCACAATTTGTGTCAACTCTGTTAGTGTAGAAAATATGAAAGATTTTCAACCAAAAATTAAAACTTAAGAAGCTCAGACCTTGGTATATTCCCTTATATCCTCTTTTGTGTCCATCTTCCTCCAATCCAAAATATCAAGAGGACATAGAGTCGCATTCATTGCCAATATGCCGAGGAAGCTTCCAAACTCTGTCACAACTGCGTCACTAGGACCGACGGGTTGATTTAAGTTGTTAAGTAAAATCAATTTACGCTCATGTCGTCCATGTACACTTTTCATCTTTGTTTTTCCTCTTTTTCTTGTTTGATTAGAAGGGCCTTCAACTATTCGAACCAAACAAAACCACCAATCATTATTGTTGGTACATTTTTTACGACTGAAATAGGATGTAAATATTTTAGATAAAGTCTATAGGTTCTTACCTTGTTCTTCACATTGTTCATCTTCAATAGGAGTTGTAGAATCCAACTAAACTTGTTCCTCTACTTGTTCCTCTATTACTTGTGTTGTAGGAGTGGTTGATCTTGTTTGTACATGGGCTGCTACTTCTGAATATTGTGGCACTAGCAGATTCTCTTCGATGATATTCAGACGCTCTTCGTTTGATTGTCTAGCAGGAACAACATATTTTGCAGAAGTGGTTGATCTAGTTTGTGCATGGGCTACTGCTCCTGGCAGATTCTCTATAACAATATTCGGCCGCTCTTTGTTTGATTGTCTAGCGGGAACAACATATTTTTGGCTAAACGAAGTCCTTATTTGGTGTCACGATCCGGATTTTCTACCCTCGGGAGTCGTGATGGCGCCTACTAATAGGAGCTAGGCAAACCAACTTAATTAACCACTCATTAAACACATGTTCCTTTTTAATAATTTAACAGTATTAAAATAAAAGCAACGGAATTAAGATCATAAGCGAAAGTCTTAAATTTAGATAGCTGAATAAAATACAGAACCCCAACATGAATCTCTACCCCGGAACTGGAGTCACATACTCACGAACATCTAAGAAGTACTAAATACAAAGTCTAAAAGAAAGCATAAATCTGTTTATCTCGGGTACAATGAGGTGACAGTCTAATATAAGAAAAGAGGAGACGCGGGGCCTGCGGACGCCTGCAAGGCTACCTCGGGTCTCTCCGGACTGAAGGTATACTCCCGTGCTAAAGCTGTTGTTGCTGCTCGAAACCTGGACCTGTGCAAAAATGCACAGAGTGTAGCACCAGCACAACCAACCCCATGTGCTGGTAAGTGTCTAGCCTATCCCCGGCGAAGTAGTGACGAGGTTAGACTGGACACCACATAAACCTGTGCAGATATATATGCAAGTACAACGGAAAGAAACAGCAAGAACATAACAATTTAAGCTGGGGAGGGGAGCATGCTTCAAGTGTGACAGATAGAACAAAATATCGGGAATAATGGTACGTACATCTACATTTTTAACTTCTAGAAATAATTAAAAGACAAGGCAACTTTCATATTCAACTCATCTTGTTGCAGGCGTGCAACCCGATCCCATTTCTCATGAATCTCGTGGTAGGCGTACCACCTGCCCCCATTTCAATATCACTTGTGGTAGGCGTACCACCCGCTCCCATTTCAATATCACTCGTGGTAGGCGTACCACCCGCTCCCATTTCAATATCACTTGTGGTAGGCGTACCACCCGCTCCCATTTCAATATCACTTGTGGTAGGCGTACCACCCGCTCCCATTTCAATATCACTTGTGGTAGGCGTACCACCCGCTCCCATTTTAATATCACTTGTGGTAGGCGTACCACCCGCTCCCATTTCATTATCTCTTGTGGTAGGCGTACCACCCGCTCCCTATACTTACAACACAATACACAATACAGTCCTGGCAAGGGAATAATAACAACAAGTCAAACATCCCAACAAGGGAGAGTCAGTTATAACCAATCCTATTCAACTTCTTCTTGGTACAACTAACATCAATATTCAGTTACAAATTTCATAGGATCAAACAAGGGTACACAATTAGCAAAATTAAGACTCACGGTCATGCTTGACACCGACGCATGGATACTCGTCACCATGCCCATACGTCGTACCCCACACGAATCAAATAGCAATTATGACTCAACTCCTAATCCCTCAAGCTAGGGTTAAACCAAAAACACTTACCTCAAACTTCCACGGCAAATTCAATCATCGACAACCGCTTTCCCTCTCGAATTCGGCTCCAACTCAACCAAATCTATGCAATAATGACTTCACGTTATCAATATGTGCTAAAAAAATCAAACCCAATGTCTAATTATAGCTTTTTCATCCATTTATCCCAAAAGGTCAATAATGCCCCCGGGCCCACTTGGTCAAAACCCGAGGTTCGAACCAAAACTCGATTACCCATTTCCCCATGAACTCAGATATATAATTTATTTTGAAATCGGACCTCGAATTG